TTTTCTGATACTGGACCTGGAAAGAAAGTTGTAATCAAGACCGTTGAGATTCGGGATGGAGAGGTGAGACATTTTGATTCCAGTCTTACTGAAACAGACATCCGAGCATCCTTTAACAATAAATTGGCCAGTGAAAAACACTCTATCACTCAGTATTCTTATTGTTTAAAGTTATAGCTTGTTTGCCTTTGTTTTGTTTTTTTCCCCTTCAAATGTATATGTGTAAAATATGTAGCATATATCTGATTGATTCTTTTGCTCATTGCTCAGGTGGTGAAAGAATCTACAAAGGAAAAGAGCAGAGATGTGAAAAAAGATTCTCATGGTCAAGGAGCTTCTGAAAAAGATTAGAGTGTGCAGATAAATTAATGCTTGATGAGTTATTAATCGTGTGTTGCAATTTTAAAGGAACTGTAATAGTAAAATGTAGGCACACATGCTGTTTACAATGATGGTAGCAGTGTAGTGAATATCAGCAAATATTAGACTCAGTATTGTGTATAATATGGTGCTATTACTATATATGAGCATAAAATGACAATGCTTTAACTAATAAATCATGTATGCAGGCCTAAATAAAGTCACTAACAAGATGCCCAACAAACAAACACACTTACAGACATCAAAAACAATATTTCAGAAGTTCACGTCAATATAATCTTCAAATAAACGTGAATGTAAACAGAATTGTTTGGCTTCTTGTCCATAATGAAGTGTTTGAGCTTGAGTCTTGCCACAGGCACGGTCGGATTAAATCAGAGGATTTTTAATCTGCTCCTGAGGACCAACAGCACTGCACATTTTGTGATTCGGTTCATTAGCTCGTTAAAAGAGAGCTCTATAAACTCAAATAAGTGTGTCAGATAAGAAAGACAAACTAAATGTGCATTGCTTGGGTCCTCATAACCAGAATTGAAAACACTGACACCTCATGAGACTGAGTTTTTTTTGTTTGTTTGTTTTAAACGCTGAACCAATGGCTTATAGCATATTAATATTAATTACACAATATTTGGCATTAATTGTTCTATATATGTAAGCAACATGTACACATTTGTAGTTTTGAGAAAGTCAACTGTAAACTTGGTTAGAAAGAAAAATATTTGTAAGGACACTGATATGAGGCCATAAAAATATATTAAACATTATAAAGTTTATAAGATAGTATGTTAAACATATGCTAGAGTATCTCAAAGAAGCCAGTATGTGTGAAAAAAGTATTTAATATGCTGCTCAATGATTAAAGCAGTCTTCATTTGGCAGGAAGCAAAGAGGTACATCACACGCAGTGCAGATGACAGGGTTTTTTTTTCTTGTGGCAAAATCTGTACTTAAACTGTAGGCACTGCTGGAAAGCCTGAACTGTTTTGGTTTGTCACGGCATGTCCTGCAGAAAGCTGAGAAGCAGAAGGAGCAGGAGGATGAGGTATCCAGTCAGCAAGCTCCATAACTAGAGCTTCCAAAGTTCCCTCTGTGTTTTCACTTTCTTATCCTGCAGTGCAATGATGAAAGACCACGCAATATCCACAAAGTGATCAAAAGAGAGAGGTACCTCTTTGTGGTTTTGTGAAGCACTGAGTAGTATCCAGTGAGGGTATCGGATACCTCCACTCCTCCTATGTCCCTGTGTGGAAAACAAGTCAATACCAAATATAAAACATCTACACAATTGTTGCAAGTGTGCCTTGTCATTTGACACTGCAGCAGGAATGGGAAAAGTAATTTCTGTCTATTTTCCATCTGATGCTTTCACTCTCCTCTGCACCTCTGTCTGATCTCCACTGGCTGAATGAAAGGAAGAACATACTAGGACTTCTCTCCTGTCCTTCTCCACAAACAGAAGTTGGTTGTCCCTAATCCATCCTATGCTTCCACGGGGTGCATTTTGGGGCAGCTTGTTGAGGATGGTTTGTGGGAAGCCCACCCTGTAACTCCTGATGGTCCCACAGTCAAAGATGTTTTTTGAGGAGGTACCTAAATAGCATTGAGATAGTGTAGAAATGATCTACAAACAGTTTGTACCCCAAGACCTTGTCATCCACCAGAGTCTTGACTGATTCTTAGCTCAGTCCCTTGATTTGTTGGATCTGAGTTACTGGGGAATTGCCTACATAAATCAAGAAATCCCATAAATGTGATGTGAAAAAACATGGCTTGTATGCCCACTTTATTGGGTTATCTTTATGATTTTGTTTTAGCCCAATTCTTGCCTTCCATGCCACTACCCTCTCATCAATGGCGAGGTTCTGGTGTGGATAGAAGAAGGTCTTGCATCCATCATGTATCCGCTGATACACTGGCTGCAGTTAGCAGAGGAGATCATAAGCAGGTGTTCCTTTCCCCCCCTCATGTTTTCAGCATTGGATTGCTACGTTAAAGTGCTGAGGAGATGGCCTAAACTTTCCTGCACGACATGACAGTCGCTGGAAAGTCAATGTCAATGCCACAGAGACTAGTCCCATTCACATCAGCAGCTGTCAGAATCTTTACCAGATCCATGGAGATAACAATTGAAAGGAAGGAGCATGTCCTGCCTTAGTCTCCCTGTGGTCTCCAGGTGCTTGGCAGTGTAGGCATTTGAATTTAGTTTGGCATACAGATGATGAACAGTTGGAACAACACCAGAGGACTGCTGGACTGCTTCAGGTTAATTTGAGGCCCGGGTGTTCAAGCTGGGTTTTCAAAGTAGCTATATATAAACTAGAGTTGGATTTGATGTATCTGGCTCGTCATCCCTGGATTTATCATTCTGCTCCTCATCACTTAATTCACGAAGCCCATCTACAAGTGTATTAAAAAAAAAGTGTATAACCTCTTTTTAGCCTCTGTGGATCCATGTGACAACCATGAAGTGTGGAGTGAAGGTGCAAATGAAAGTCTGGGTGCTCCTGGAGCATGCAAGTTTATTTTCATGCATGCTTACAAACTTTCAGTAGCAATTTTTAAGCTTAAGGTGGACATGCGATTAGCAGCAGCATACAATCTGCGTTTGACTGGATAATGATTTTGTCAAGATCAATTTTCAGAAAGGTCATTGGCCAGCTGAACTGTTGAAAACTTACTGGCATTAGATATGGCTTTGGCTGCTCTGGTTGGTTACCGAGACTTGCTTGAGCAGTACTGGACTGCTGATCAGAAGCCTCTACCAAGCATAGCAACAGGTTTGTTACAAAAACATGCATCAAATGAACATGCATTACAATTCCTATTGAAAACATGCTACATCAACTCAATATATTCTCAATCTTTTGGACAAATACTAGAATGGATGTTATGTAATGAATGATTAGCATACAGTTTTTACATCATATATATCTCAAAACGATGGTCAAATATGAAAACTACTTTCCAATGATATAGAGCTTGTGTAGACATTAGTTTAGGTTAAGAATAATATATCACGGTCTCAAATATGTAATAACAATGAGCCCAGTGGTGGGCTAGTGAGAGTTAACAGCTTTAAAGAAATCGTTGTTCTAAAAATGAAAATATGCTTACTCCCCAAAACGTGCTTGCTTACTGCCTCAGGCCATCCAAAATGTAGGTGACTTTCTTTCTTCAGTAGAGTACTAAAGATGGTTTGTAGCTAAACCCATGGGACTATACTTTATTCCACTTTAGACTTACTACGAAGTATCATATATATCTCAAAACGATGGTCAAATATGAAAACTACTTTCCAATGATATAGAGCTTGTGTAGACATTAGTTTAGGTTAAGAATAATATATCACGGTCTCAAATATGTAATAACAATGAGCCCAGTGGACTTACTACGAAGTAACTTTGCAACTACATGAAAACTAACTCACATTAATTTGCAAATACATGTTAAGTAACTCTCATTTGTAGGTGACTTTCTTTCTTCAGTAGAGTACTAAAGATGGTTTGTAGCTAAACCCATGGGACTATACTTTATTCCACTTTAGACTTACTACGAAGTAACTTTGCAACTACATGAACACTAACTCACATTAATTTGCAAATACATGTTAAGTAACTCTCATTTGAGTGTTAGCAGACAGGGTAGCACTTTATTTTACAGCGTACATACTTTTGTACTTATAGCAATTACAATAACTGGGTAATACTAATCCTGAACCTAACCCATGTAGGTACCTTATACTACCCATTACTTTCCTGGGTAAGTACACTGTATAAGTGCAACCACAAACTGTAAGGTTAGGGTTAGTAGAATAAGTGGACATGTTCTTGCAAAGTCACCTGTAGTCAGGAAAATATCTGTTGGGGGACCATCAAAATTAAGTGTAAGGAGATATTATGCATATAGTCCACTAATAATGGACTATTCACAATTCACAAAGTGTATTAATCTAAATAAAGAAAAGACACCCATCACAAATAACAGGGATCCTATTAAAAAGATCCCTGGAGTCCCTGCTCTCTCTCCCAAAACACACAAACACTTTCAGACCGCGATGTCAGCAAAGATTTGGGCTTGAATATTGTGAAGTGAGATAGAAGGTCCCTAAGATAAGATATGTGGAGTTCATAACTGCCCATTTTCTGCTATGAAGAAAAAGGATCGAATAAATTCTTCTGGGGAAAAAAAATAAATAAAAAAAATAAAAGATTTTCATGCCGGACAGCACACTATACCACGCTGCTTAAAACATTTGTAGTTGTTAAACCTTGTCAAAACGCAAGGTTGATACATTACATCACGATCAGTAGTTTAAAAGAGAACACACGCTTTGAGAGAAATGAGTGGTCAGTGGATGTTGTGTGCTGATGTGGCTAACACGAGTGTCTAAATAAAGATGCATCTTAAATACATAATTTTTTTACACTTTGCATTGATACATTTTAATCATTTAATTCCATGCATCAATCCGTTATAGCTCTAGCACCTAGTAGGTACACCTTTCCTGATCTACTTCTGAAGGATGCATATTAATACCTTAAGGACCCACACACACCTAAGCCAAATGCAAATCATCTATCAAGCATATCAAGAATGAAAGACAAAAGAGAAACTAGTAAGGAACTAGGGGACTTTTAATGTAAATAGCAGATAAACAACCATGGCACTACAGGGATTACAAGCTTATCAAAATGAACCGCAAAGAACACTTAAAAAAATGAATAAAAATACAAGGGTAAGATCCATTTTTATACATTTCCAAACCGCTCCGCACATTTTCGCTTCTTTGCCTGAAAGAGAAAGAGAGGGTGGGATAAGGAGAAGGCCATCATAGTGAGAAACAAGATTGTAACATGGTCAATACTGATATAAATAGGAGCCTCGCTTGAGGTGTTGCCACGATTTACAGCGGATAAGATTCAGTTTTATTCCTCTGAAGTTGTTGTGCTAAGGATGATGTTGTCTGACATTATTTATTTATTTTTTTAAATCGCTCCTGTCCTTTGTCGGAATCGCACACTAAATTTAATCAGGGGATGATGGCAAAAATGTAGTCTTGCCACAAAGTGATGAATTTCAGATCACTGCCTTGTCTCTTGTATGGTAGGCAATGTCAGTCCTCCCACAAAACATTAATTGGTAGAATCATAATTTCTTCCAACAAAGATAACCTGAATAATTTCTACAACTATCAAACATTTTTGAACTCGAGCTTGTAACAAACTCTGAATACAGTGTTTTCCCAACACTTTAGATAGTGTAGCACCTTTCAGTCTAAAGAAAATTAAATAAATTAATATATGCAGGTGTGTTCTCAGAAAATATTAAATAAAACAAACTAATGCATAAATACAAATATTTGTCTGGTACTCTATTAGATGCTGGAGATAAAAAAAAGATTATATTTATTTTTTAAGATATTTGTTCATAGTCTGAATTAACGTTGCAGATACTTTATTACTTGGCATGTTTATGAAGCAAATAAGCTAAATAAATATGAACAGAAATCACACATAAACCTATGCTTAAAAAGCCCATACACACGTGGACAAAATTGTTGGTACCCTTCCATTAAAGAAAGAAAAACCAACAATGGTTACTGAAATAACTTGAAACTGACAAAAGTAATAATAAAAACATTACTGAAATGTAACTAATGAAATGATTGCTTTTGAATTGTGGTTCAACAGAAGCATAAAAAAAAAGAAAAGAAAAAAAAAAAGAAACTGGCCTGGAAAAAAAAAATGGTACCTTCTATGATCACAGACGCAAAAATGAAGCATACAAAGAAAAGAACACTGTACCTACTGTGAAACATGGAGGAAGCTCGGTTATGTTCAGGGGCTGCTTTGCTGCATCTGGCACAGGGTGTCTTGAATCTGTGCAGAGTACAATGAAATCTCAAGACCATCAAGGCATTCTGGAGCGAAATGTGCTGCCCAGTGTCAGAAAGCTTGGTCTCAGTCGCAGGTCATGGGTCCTCCAACAGGATAATGACCCAAAACACACAAACTGCGCTTTGTATCTGCTTTCTGCTGATTGAGATTGACATGCTAAATGGCTGACTGACCAGGTACACTCTCATTCATTTAGTTCACGAACGAGTGCTGCTCTGGAGGGAGGAATTTCAGTGAACGAGAAATATGAGTCAATGGATTACGTGAACGAGAACGATTCGTTCACCAAAAAGATTCGTTCAAAAAGAACGATTCGTTCACGAACTAAACATCACTACTCTGTACATTACTTGTCATTTGTAAGCTTTTTTTGAAATATGAAAAAAATAAAAAAGGTACCTTTTTAGAGACTGAAGAGACATTCATGCCAAAACGTTCTGCTCTCTTTTTTAATACCTCAACGTCAACCTGAAAGAGACTGGCATGTTTAACAGTGGTTTTGCAGAGATTAAGTTATTTCATATTTCAATTTCCAAGTCCCCACAAAAATGTGCAACCAAATTACTCACATTAACTTTGGCTGAAGTTCCTAAAAAAACAAAACAAAAAACAACATATCAATGGATGGACATTTTCATTAATTAGGCACTGCACAGGGTTCATACACATTTTTACCAATACATTTCCATGACTTTTGAGACCATATTCATGACCTAAAGTTCCATTAATTTTACAAGTACACATGTAAAATATGAAGACAAATCTGTTCAAATTTATCATAGCACATGTTAGCTATGGACTAATGAATGACTATTAATGCTTCTTATTTGTTTTAATAAGTACAAGCTACAACTGTGCCAGAGGTTACTCCACGCAGAGAACATATCACATCACTGAATATTATAATTTATTTAACCAATATTATCAACTGAACTCAGAACCTGAATTTCATTTAGGAAACAGTTTAGGTTTAACAGTAGTATTCAGGTAGAGAAATATACAGAAATTGAATAAACTGTAAATTAAAAACCGATTAATCATTCAAATTAAAGTTACAAATGTTTAGTCAAGAGCAGTGATTGACCTATTTTTTGTCTTTTGTTGTTTGATTAACATTAATGACAGACTGCACAGCTTTATTAAAGGTGTCATGAATTGAGAAATCAACTTTTACTTGACCTTTTGATATATAAGAGGTCATCGAGCTAAAATAATATTCTGTAAGTTTCAGAACTGAAAACAATCTTGTTACTGAAATAAAAGCTTTTGACACCAGGCCCAGCGAACGTCAGATCCTGGAATGTGCCTAAACACCGCCTTCACAGAAGAATATCAATGCCTAATTCTGTAGCCCCGCCCACTGATTCGTGCATGACGTAGGAGGTAAATAACATAAGCTAAACCGGATCGAGCAACCAAGCAATAAACATGCTGTTAAAGATGGCAAAATATTGTGCAGTGCCTGGTTGTGGAAGAACAGAGTCACTGCATAACCTTCCTTCGGATTCAAATATTAGGAATGCGTGGTTGAACTTTATTTTTAATGAAGTTTCAGCTCACGCGAGTAAAACATTGAGCTTCATTTCACAGAGGACTCCTTTGTAAACAAGACACAGGTCGACGCTGGATTTGCAGAGAGACTGAGATCAAAAAGCAATGCTGTGCCGTCTACATCAGATCCGACAGGAATGGCGCAGCACACTTATGCGAGTAAAAAATATTTGTACTATGTGTCACTATTGCTTTGTTAGAGATCGCTTGATATGTCCTAATTATGTGTAGGTGTCTAACCAAAGTCACAGAAGTCTCCAGCTATGAAGGACTTAGCTTGTCAAACAGGCACACAAAAAGTTAGTTTACTATGCAAAACTATTATCCAATCATAGCAGTGGGCGTTTACTTCCAAGTCTTCAATGCGGCACGCCCATAAAAACCCAGCGTTTCTCGAGCCGGCCTCAAAACCAGGGTAGAAAATAGCCCATTACTTAATGATTTTGATGTTTTTAAATGTAAAAACCATGCGAACGTCATAAGTGGACCTCAGACAACAGTATAAAATAAAAAAAGCCAGTTCATGACCCCTTTAAGCTGCTGTCCCTTTAAGACCGACTGAATGGATCCAACATACTGCTACACAACAGTTTTCTTTCTCAACAGTCACTTAAGACAAAACCGACTGCGTTTATAAGGCTACTCGCAAGGACGGACATTTTGACAATTTTGTGTGTATTTGGCCGCTTAATAATAAGTTGTGGAAAAATAATGGTACTCGCGAGGTGTTTCTTTTCCAAAAGTTTCTGGGTTTATTAATTTTTCCAAACCTTTTTCAGGCCTGGAAACTGCCGGTTTTAAAATTCCATGACTTTTCCAGATTTTTCATGAACGTACGGACCCTGACTGTAGCTTGCAGCCTTAACTTTAAAGATAGACTGCGTTTCACAATATAGTGGTCACACAGACAACACAACTAACTTAACTGCACACACCAAACACAGAGCAAGCACTAATGTCCAAATTCAAATGACTGACTTGTGTATGTACCAGTTTTAAGTAAATAAATAGTTTATCAAAAGACTGAAATGAACTAATTTGAAGACATTATCAGACTAAACAACTGACTCACTGAGTCATTCATTACAGTTGGTCATGACCAAAAGTCAACAAAGGACATGAGATCAAAACACTGTAATTAGTGACTGGTTGTTCAAATGTTATGTCATGTCTTTCACTTGCAACTTATTTTTAAGTAATTGTATCAGTATGATGCTATTTTAAAAAGGTAATGTAAATAAAGCACAACCAATGTGTGGCAGTAGAAGAAATGTGGCACAAAAATACCATCATAGTCTTACCTGACAACAGCATCACAGTGGCACAACACAACAAACTTAAATGAAAATAACCAATAGCAGCTGTATTTTAACAAAAGGAATTTTGAAAACAGTTTTGAGATGCACTGTATTAGATTGTCAACTCACCTTTGGATGATACAGCTTCAGGTTCTTGCAGACCAAACCTAATAAAACAAGAATAGGAATTTAAGATATATAGATGGCTCAAAAACGCATGCAATAATCTACTGCATTATATAAGCATTATAGCTAACAGATGATACCGATGTATATTTTCACATGTCCACTTTCACAATTTTACAGTTACCAGTCTGTTTTTTCTCTAGAATGCATGTAAAATGTACTATTGTTGTCAAATTTTATTTCAGATTTAACGTGTTTTGAAACAGTTTTGACAAAGTTATGTAGATTTGTCTTTTCCCATTCAAATAGATAAGTGTGTGAGAGATTTTTTTTTTAACATATTGCTACACGATGAAGCACAGGCCTATGTGCACTGGTGTGGCTCACATTTCTTACATAAGACCATTGCACAGTCCAAACACTGCATTTCAACCAAAAGAAATGCTCAAGACTTCTTCAGTCTTCAACCATCTTTTAATGACATTTAATACAAAAAAAGAAAAACAAATGTAATCTCTCTCTCTCTCAAACAAGCAAACCTTGCTGCTCTTGCTGCCTTTTTGCTGTCCGCACTTGGTGCAATATTGAAGCGTTCCGCTCTTTTCTGAAGCCTCTGCAATGAAAATAATAATTTTGTACTTCTTTTATGGCAAGAAGAATATACCATAGAATTTCATTATATAATGCACATCTATTAAATGTGTAGTGTAAAATATAGGCCAGCACTATATTGTACAAACGCCAAGCACTGCCGTCACAGTAATTTTTCACTGTAACAGCAGCCAAATTACACATTTCTTTGACAAATAATTAGTCAAGGTTAAATATGATAATGACATTAATATCAGTAACTTATTTCATTGTTTCTCTCTTTTTATCATCATCTCTATTTTCAAATGATAATGTCTCAATTCCAGCCCTACTGGTGCAAAACACCACTTTGGTTTCAGTAAAGATCATTACCTCACCAACTGTAGCAGGAGGGTTTATCTTGACCAGTTTTTTCTCAGTCACCCTGAAATCAAGAGCACAGTGAACAAACAAACCCATTTCCAATCACTAATCCTCAGACAAAGCTAGTACTATAGTGTGGCATTATTTTATTTTATTTTATTTATTTTTTATATGCCATGTGCAAAGTATGCTGATGTATAAGTGAAGGGGGAATGACATACTCTTCAGGAGGAGTAAACTCTTGCTTCTGGGAATCGGTCTCTTCTTTGGCAAAGGCCTCCTAAAACACATGCAAAGTATGTTACATTGAGCACATCAAACAATATGACTGTCGTCCCATCTGGAACCTGACACAAGAAACACATTTCTCTGTTTACACCTATTAAAATCCATTCAAACTCCATCCATTTACAGTACTAAAATCCATCTCAGGTGATCTGATCAGTCAAAGACGTTTTGTAATCTGATTAATTAAACCACAAAAAGAGACAGTCAGAGATGCATGTGACCACATTGCTTTGAAAGGTAAACTTGAATTTTGTTTTGCTGTATCCAGGACAGTAAAGGACCATCTATTCACCTGTCAATCATCCACTGCACTTTGTTATGCTTTAAAATAAAGCTAGATAGGTGAAGTTTGTCAAAGAAAAACTAGGGTTGTATGATATGACTATATATAGCCTATATATCTTGACAATGATATAAAGTGTGTATTGATAGAGACTTTTTAAATTGTTTACATCACCATGTTAGAGCAATAAAAGTAGCATTAAATTTTTTTTTTGAAAACATACAGGACGTGCTCGATGCAAAAAAAAAGTTAAATGTAATAAACAGTGAAAAAGAACTCAATGGGGCACTCAAAAACCTTGAATCTGACTATTTTCTTAACCATATTCAAAATCATTTATGTTCTGAACACAACCACTGGGCAATAAGCAGGCACTGTAGTTTTGTTCAGAATATATGTAATGCACGTATATGAACTGGATAGCAACGTTAAGGGTTAATATAAACAGAACTTTCAGAATCTGAAATCGGATCCACTCCAAACAGATTGGGGTTATTGTTAACATGCATTATACATTGACATAGCGAGCGATTCATGTATTTCCGAAAACCAGAGACCCTTCCCATCAAAATTGGTTTATGACAGGGCTCCAGACAAAAAAAAAA